CCAACTAACCTTTTTTTTATTATTATTTATTTACTTAATGACTAGAGTACTGCCTAATACTTAGTATATGTTCTATACTTGCTTTCTAAAAAACAAATCTTTGTGTTTATCACACCTTGAGATTAGGGACCACAAATGCCTATGTAGTTGGTATTAATCCCAGTTATATCTAAGATAAATGAATGACAAAATAAACGATGAGCCATGATTGAATGCTTTAAAATCATTTCCTGGGCTGGTGAGATGGCTCTGCGGGAAAAGTGCTTGCTACAAGTCTGATGAACTGAGTTTAAATTTTAATATTCTCTTGGTGAAAGGAGAAAAGCAACTCCCTGAATTCCTAAATACACCCACACACACACACACACACACACACACACACACACACACACACCATTCAAAAATAAAAATATATAAGTAAATGAATGTAAATTTAAAAATAAAACTATATCCTATTATATGTGTTAAGTAAGAACTGTTAGTGGAATAGAGGAAGATAAAGCAAAGTTGCTTTGATTTTAGCTATTTGCGTGGCAGGGAAATAATAATAAAAACTTAAATTCTTACCAGTATAAATAAGTGGGTTTAAAGAAGCAGGTTGAGAATAAAAGGATTTATTATTCCGTAGAATAAATGGTACAGCCCCAGGAAATATCCTCCCTCTAAATTTTTGACCACAGTGAAACAAAAACCTAAGGTGTACATTTTTTGTAGGCAGAAAGAATAATATTGGTTTCTCAAAAGTTCTAAGCTTTCATAACAATGAAAGGGCTTGTTTTGTCCTTGGGTAAGTTTTTTAACTGATTGACCTGTTTTGATTTGATTAGGACCAAAATTTAGTAGTAAAAGATCCCACCTTTGTAAATCCATTTGTTGGCTCTGGGTCTTTACAAGTTAAATTCAATTTGCCCAGGAAGCACTTTAATTCTAACATTGTCTTTACTCTGTGAAGTGTTTTGGGGTATAGAAAGAGGTTCTCTTTTAATAAGACTATGTTGTAAGCATAGTTTATCACAGTCTTCCTTAAAAACAATATGATTGGTCTAACAGAGCTGAAAAGTATTCAACATCAAGATTAATTATCATAAAATCAGAAAGCTGTGTCTTAGTTAGGGTTACTATTGCTATCATGAAACGCCATGACCAAAAGCATTGGAGAGGAAAGAGTTATTTGGCTTAAATTTCCACATCACTGTTCATCATCGAAGGAAGTCAAGACAGGAACTCAAGCAGGGCAGGAACCTGGAGGCAGGAGCCAATGCAAAGGCCTTGGAGGGTGTTGCTTATTGACTGTTCCTCATGGCTTGCTCAGTTAGCCTTTTTACAGAATCCAAGACCACCAGCCCTGGGATGGCACCATTGATGGCAATCACTAATTAGGGAAATGCTCTGCAGGCTTGCCTACAATGCAGAGAGAGAGAGAGAGAGAGAGAGAGAGAGAGAGAGAGAGAGAGAGAGAGAGAGGAGAGAGAGGGGTATATACTATATATGTATATACACATTTATACTTTTTTTTCTTTTCTTTTTTTTTTTTTACTTTTAAGTGGATGAATGTTCTGCTTTTCATGTATGTCTGTTCATCATGTATGTGCCTGGTCTCTGTGGAGGTCAGAAGAGGCCATCAGATACCCTAGAACAGGAGTAACAAGCAGCTGTGAGCCACTGTGTGGGTGCTAGGAATTGAACTTTGGTCCTCCGCAAGAGCGGTCAGTGTTCCTAACTGCTGAGCCATCTCTCGAGCCCCTACAGTTTAGTCTTAGAAGCTTTTTTTTTTTTTTTTTTCCAATTATGGTTTCCTTCTGTCAGATGATTATAGCGTGTGTTAGGTTGGCATAAAACTAGCCAGCACAAGCTATATATTTAAAGTTGTGTTCAAATCTACATACTGTTTTACATATGTATTCTATGCCAGTTTATTTAAGGGCTAACTGTATTGTGTTTCTATAAACCACAAGCTTGCCTTTGCCCTACCAAGCCGATGATGTCACATCTGTAATTCAAAATGCTGACAAGCAGGAGGACAGGAATGCAGACTAATTCTTGGGTACATAATGAGTTTGAGGCCAGGCTGGCCTACATGAAATCCTGTCTTGAAAAGAAAAAAGGAAAAAAATGAATTACACTATTAAATAATTCAGTGCAAAACATTTGTGATGTCCAACCAAAAGACTCCTTGAAGTTTTGAAAATAACTTTGCCCTATGGAAGAATTTAAACATGTGTAAAAGTAATGAATCCTTAGTCAATGATTATTTCAATTTTTTATGATAAAGTTTGAATCTAACTTTTTAGGTGTGAATTTTCCTATGGCAAGTAAATATAAAAATGAGGACATACATTGTTATTGGCTCACCAACACGAACTCAGGGCTGACATCCCTCTGGCTGAGGCCTGAAGTAAGTTTCCCCAACACACACATGTAGTAACAAGTCTTTTTTCTGTCCCACCAGCCTGCTCCCAAAAAGTGATGTAGAGACGTCCTATAAATTATGAAAGCTTGGCCTATAGCTTAGGCTTGCCCCTGACAAGCTCTTATAACTTAAACCAGCCCATTTATATTAATGTACATTCTGTCACGTGTCATTACCTCTTTTCCACATTGCACCTCCAGTTTCCTCTCCCTGTCTCCTCCTCCTCTTCCTTTCTCTCCCTAGAAATCCTGCCTAGAACTCCTCCTAGCTGTTGACTGTTCAGCCTTTTATTGCACCAATCACAGCAAATACATCTTCACACAGTATACAGATATCCCACAACACACACGCACACACACCTTTGCTGCCAGACACTTTACAGCATTCACTGGGTTTAGGCTCTAAACAGCACTTCAGTATTATGCTGGGAAACCATCTGAAATGAAAAACACAAAGGTTTAGAAAATGTGGCAGTAAATAGACTGACTAGCACACAGATTTGTATTATGACAATAGAAAACTGTCACTTCCTTCAGCCTTAGCTGGGAGAGTATATAAGCTGGGTGACAGGTTTTTTAGTGATCTTCATGTATCCATAAAAGCAATAAAGGTTTTTGCAGTTTCTGGTGGGTAGACAAATGCACACATCCATCCTCCACAAATAATGAGAATTGCTTGTGTAAGTCTAGTTACTTTCTGAATACTTAAAGTGATGAGGGCCCATGCGCTCATGACAGACTTGAAATAGGGCCTCACTCTGTTACCCTACCTGGCCTGGAACTTCAGAGATAGACCCTGTTGCTTTTGCCTCCCAGGTGCTGTGCACTACATGGTTTCCATGGTTTCCATGATTACATTAACTGCTTACATGGATCCTACCTAGTGCAGCTTTCTAGATTGTTCCCCCTTCAGAATTTAAATTCAGCTGCTTTACATTCAGTTTGATTCTACTCCCAACCCTAACCCCAAATATAAAAGTTTAAAATTTTCAGAAACTTTGAGAGTTGGGGAGTAAGATAAAGTGATTGACGTGACTGCAGTAGTTAATCTTATACTACCTGACACCCTTTCCTTCTGTCTTTCCTAATAAGTACTACTCCCTGCTTTCTCACTGCCTTCCTTTAGTCTGTCAAATTTGCCTCCGTAGATGAGGCATGGGATGGGTTTAAGCAATAGGATTAACTGTCTTTCCTTTGCCTTGTCCTCTGCTCCCAATGCCATCTGTACTTCTCCCTATATGGGCTTTATTCTACCAGTATATATTTTCTCAGTGTTCTAGGAAATATGCATTCAGTTGGCACACTCATTGGTTTTCCAAGACCGGGTTTCTCTGTGTAACAGTCCTGGCTGTTGTGGGACTCACTCTTGTAGTCCAGGCTGGCCTACAAGATCAAACTCACAGAGAACCACCTGCCTCTGCCTCTCGAGTGCTAGGACTAAAAGTGTGTGCCACTACTGCTTGGTGACACATCTTAGCTACAGTAAAAACAGGAACATCTGTCAACCAAAGTCTGTGTCTCAGTTTAAAGAATTCAGGTACTGTTTAAGAGGCCATATACTTAGTCCTCAGCCTGTTGCTTTCATAGCAGCTGACTAACACATGTGCATCATCAGTTGCCAGAAAAGGTTATTGGTAGCTCAACAGTAATGTGAGGTTCTAGAGAAGGGCAGGTGCCCACAGAGAGATACTAGTGAACTCAACATCACAGGTCTGTCTCTGGCTGGGTGGGTGATGGTGTTGTATATGCATGTGTGTATGCCTTCGAGTGCATGAGCTTGTAGAGACCAGAGATCAGTGGGAGTGTCTTTATCCCAGTGAGACAGGGTCTCTCTGTGAACCTAGATTGGCAGGCCAGTGGCATCCCTTGCCCCAGGGTCTACACTGGAGTTAAAGGTGTACACTGCCATAATCAGCTCTTTAGTGGTGCTGAGGACCCACACTCAGGTCCTCATGCTTGAGCAGCAAAACCACTACCCACTGAGGTCTAAACTGATTTTACAGCTACATAGGGTGGCATACACCTGTGCTTACAACAGTTGGAGGCTCACATAGGAAGATCTAGAGCTCCAGACTAGCCTGGGCTACAGCAGTCACTATCTCAAAAAACAACAAAACTTTTTATTTTACTTTGAGTGTTGACCTCTAAGTGTTGTATGTAGTATAGAAAATACTATTACATTATCTGTTTGTGTGTGTGATTTTAATAAAATACTTACCAATCCCGTCCCTGTCCCCTCCCCCCTTTAACTTTTGAGACAGGCTCTGTGTAGTCCTGACTGCCCTGGAGCTGACAATGTAGACCAGGCTGTTCTTGAACTCACAGAAATCCTGTTGTTTCTGCCTCCCAAGTACTGAGATTAAAGTTATACACTACCATGCCCAGCCTTAATTTCTCAAGTCAGTAAAATAATAGTTACCTGATATAATTTCCCTTGACTAATAAGTAAATTATAGACATAATACTGTATCTGACTGAAGGAATCCACATGATATTTTAAAGGTGTTATAAGATGAGTGAACGAGTTTTAAGAAAATTATTTGAAAGAAAACCTCCTTCCCTTTTACCTCTTCTGCACATTTGTGTCCTAGGTACCCGCAAGATGTGGTGTTACAGTCCGAGACAGTCTAAAGAAAGCACTGATGATGAGAGGTCTGATCCCAGAATGCTGCGCTGTTTACAGAATTCAAGATGGGTATGGTTTGTATGTGTTGTGTGATTTTCTTAAAAGAAATGAGACATAAAGCTTTGAGTCTCTTTTATAGTCTTTATCCAGAAACTGAAAAAAAAAAATCAACCTCCAGGTGGCTCAGTGAGAGCAACTGTCTCTGACTCCTGATTGCTGGGATTAAAAGTGTGAGCCACTACCGCCTGGCTTTGTTCTTGTTGTTTGTTTGTTTTTTGTTGTTTTTTAAAAAATAGGAACAATCTGGTTTTAGCTATTGTAGGTTTTTCCAGAACTTACTTAAGAAAGGAGTGAATATATTTACCCTGCTCTTTGTCTAAGAGTACTACACTTATTAGAACTGAACTTAAAAATTAACACCTAAATTTCTAATGATGGGGAAACCAAAGAGCCAAACCTCTTTAGTATTACCTCCTCCGTAACCATGTTCATATCTTCAGTATGATGTTTATAAATATTTTGGGGTACAGTAATCAAGAAAGGGCTGGAGAGATGGCTCAGAGGTTAAGAGCACTGTGTTCTTCCAGAGGTTCTGAGTTCTATTCCTAACAAGCACCTGTTGACTCACAACCATCTATAGTGGGAGCTGATGCCCTCTTCTGACATAAAGTTGTAAATGCACACAGGGCACTCATATACATAAAATAAATAAATAAATCTTTTTAAAACAAAAAGAAAGGTTTTGCCTATTCTTTTTTTCAGAGAGAAGAAACCCATTGGCTGGGACACTGATATTTCCTGGCTTACTGGAGAAGAGTTGCATGTAGAAGTGCTGGAGAATGTCCCACTTACAACACACAACTTTGTATGTACCTTTTCATTTTTGAATGGTCAGAGATGGTTGGTTTCTTTTGAATGTTTTTTTTTAATTTGGGGAATATGGAATAGTGACAAATAATTTTGTGATTGATAGTTTACCTAAGTTCTGTCCTTTAAAATCTTGTGTTTAAAGAATTTTATTTTAATGTTTATTCTTTGTGAGTTAATAAACATGTAGCATGTCTCTTAAAAAAACAAAAATTAGAGACTGGAGAGATGGGTCAGCGGTTAAGAAGAGCACTGGCTGTTCTTTCAGAGGACCCAGGTTCAACTCCCAGAACCCATGTGCAGCTCACAACTGTCTATAATTCCAGTTCCAGGGGATCTGACACAGATACAGATATACACACAGACAAAACACCAATACACATAAAGTAAAAAATAAGTAATTAAAAAAGAAGAAAAATTGGCACAATGTAAAAGTCTATCTATCTAGAAAAGTGAAATTTTCCCAGCAGTCAGCATCTGTATAGATGAGTAGGTAATTGTATGGTTTTTTTGTATATGCAAATGCATGGTGATCAGCCCAAAGTTTACTTTTTCTCTTCATTGCTGCCCATTCTTCTCTCTTTCTTAAGGGAAAACTGGGGTCGTGCTATGTGATAGTCCTCATTTTTAATTTTCTCATCCATAGGACTTGTGAGTGTTAATCTATTTTAGTACTAGCATTATTTTTGGAATGATTGTCTAGTAACCTATAAAAATAGAAATCTGGTATTTTTCCTCAATTAATACAAATACAGATTTTTTTATATTTATAAAGTACTATGTGCCAAGTTAGACTGCCAAATCTTGGAACACATATGTTTGAAGAATAAGGTAATAGATGGTAAAGTAGAATAGTTGGGTACTGAACTCTGCTTGAGATTTTTCCATGTGTTTTTTGCACACCTAGCTTAAGTTAGTTATCAGCATCCAGCAGTCTCCTAATCACCATTGCCATTTACCATACATCTTTAGATATGCTTAGATTCTAGAATGAGCTTAAGCAATGGCCCAGAAGACATAATAGATCTTTTTAGGTCTACCTTTATTCACAAACGTATCTTTATAGACATGGTTTGCTTAACATTCACACTCAAATGCATAACCCACTTTTTTTTTTTTTTTTTTTTTTTACCTCTTCAGATGTTCTGCTCTCTTCTCTATTTCCCTTCCTTTTCCCCACACACGTGTATATTTGTATGTATGTATGTGTATAGAAAACCAACCAGATACGCATAGTTTGGATATGTATAAATAGCAGGAAGAAAACAGTAGATAGGCAAGTGAAGGAGATTCAGGAATTCATGACACAGCAAACTGTCAGTGAGTAAGGATTTGAGTGGCTGGCTAAAAGGTCAGGGTTTTTTTTGTGTGTGTATTTGTATGTGTGCTTTGTTTTCTGAAGTAACGGTAGCAGTACTAAAGATGCTGTGTTTGGCAGTTATTTGATACATAGCTAAGGAGAAAAGCTAGAATAAACTTCTATTTCTCCACGTGCTGTCTCAGGGGTGGGAAACAAACTGAAGTAAACAGACCTTGCTGTACAAAAGCTCTTGAAAGGCCAGAGTGGGTTGTGTGCCGGTGCATAGTTTTGAGTGACTGTCCATTAAATAAATATTTTTTGAAAATGAAGTTTTGAGCTGAGCATGCTGGTACATGCCTTTAATCCTAGCACTGGGAGGAAGAGTCAGCAGATCACTGGGAATTCAGGGACAGCCTGGTCTACATAGTAAAGGCCCTGTCTCAAAAAAGAAGAAGTTTCAGAGCAGATGTGGTTTTCTATACCTGGAATCCTGGTACTTTGGAGCCAGAAGCAAGAGGCTGCTTGAAAGTTCAAGACCAACTTCTGTCACAAAAACCATTTAAACAGAAAGAGAGAAGTAATTTGGTGTTAAAATCAAATGTATCGTTTATATGTGATAAAGTATAAAGATTCTAAGTTACGTTTGGGGTAAGTACTGTTATAGATTCGTGTATACACTGGATCATGATATAAGATATATTTATTACTTATTGATTGTTGTTTTTTTTAAAAAAAGGAAAACTGAGATGATTGAAAATACACGACAAAGAATGATGTCATCCTTGCTGTCAACATTCTGAAATAGCCAATATTAAGAAATTTTCTGTTACATATTCTTCTATTACTTACTGTACCATATACACATTTTATACAATTTCTCCCTTTTCGAAGAAAGAATCCCCTTAATATAGTGCAGTTTCTTTGAGCCCTGTTGTACATTAAAAGTCACTGATAATTTTTTCAGGAGTTTTGAACTTACTTATTTTGTTATATGAAGTTCATCTGAAAGCATAAACTAAAAATAAGTTCACATTAGACATTCTTCCAGAGGTATAATAAGACTATGGTAAGTTTGAGGAGGAAGTTTCCTTTCCTATTACTGAAATTTCAGAGCTAAACTTAATTTAAAGTTTAATTTAAAAGGTGGTTCCAAAGCTACACAGAGAAACCAGAGAGAGAAGAGGGGAGGGAGAGAGAGAGGAGAGGGAGAGAGAGAGACTACAATGTAGATTTCATGAAGCCACTGATAATTTTTAATAGTTTGTGTTTTGAGCTCTTGAGTAATTGTTTTTATAATACTAAATATCTTTTAGCCACGATTTCTTGCTTATCAACTTTAGACATCATGTGCTGGTTGCTAGTTCTATTAGGGTTAGCTCATTTGCAGCATTACAACCTTCTCTCTCACCTCTTCCATCTTGTTCTGTTTGATAGCTATGAAAGTTTAAGTATATCTTTGTTTCTTGTGTACTAGCAACTATTTTTCTTACCTTCTCTCTTTATGTAGTAATTAAATGATGCCTTTGGTTTTTCTTCCTTTTTCTTTTTTATGTTGTCAAGCTTGAACTCAGTTATTCTTTTTAATTCAATTTTTTAAATTTTGTTGAGAATTTCATTCTTGAGTCCCTTTAAATGTTTCTTGTTGACCTCTTGGGATTTGATAACACATCAGGGTGCTCAGTTCTTTTATTTGTTGTATCATCTTGATTTCTGAGTTTTTAAATTGGATATTAGGATGAAAAAGTATTTCAAATTCCCTGGCTTTTAAGAATATATTTTGGTGTGTGACTTTTTATGATGTAGGTATATTTAAAAATAGTTATTTTAAGTTAAGAGAGTGAATTTTTTGGTTTATAAGTGGGCCCTTGCAAGTATTTGAAGCCCTTTATGGTTTTTCTCTTTGCAGGTACGGAAAACTTTTTTCACGTTAGCGTTCTGTGACTTTTGTCGAAAGCTGCTTTTCCAGGGTTTCCGCTGTCAGACTTGTGGCTATAAGTTCCACCAGCGCTGTAGCACGGAGGTCCCACTGATGTGTGTCAATTATGACCAACTGGAGTAAGTAATCCACAAAGAACCTCTCTGCCGCCACTCTATGGAGAGCTTTTCATAACGGGAAACTAGTGTGCCTTGAAAGTCAGTGAGGGATGTTCCGCCTGATGCATCCTTTAGGAAATGCTTCAAGTCTGACCAGAGAGTCACAGATAATGCCGGTGGCTCTTCTCTCCCAATGAAGGAACACTGGGTCTGCTGCACATTAAGTGTGCATTTCTTGCTCTCTTAAGTAACAACTACGATTCCTTAGAAACCACTTTTGTAGTTTGGGTGTGGATATAGAATAGTGTTTTAATTAAGTTGACTATTGTATTTTTGAACAGCAAGTCTGATCTGTGCTCTATTTTTCCAGTTAGGCCGATATTCATCTCTCACTCTTCAACAGCTTACCTATGTCTGTCTGTTTCACCTTTTACCTCCCCCCCCCTTTTCATTTAAATTAGAAACAAGCTTGTTCTACATGTCAATCCCAGTTCCCTCTCCCTCCCCTCCTCCCTTGCCCCACACCGACCCAATCCCCTTTCTGCTCCTCAGTGAGGGTGAGGCCTTCCATGGGGGATCTTCAGAGTCTGTCACATCATTTGGAGCAGGGCCTAGACTCTCCCACGTGTGTCTAGACTGAGAGACCATCCCTCTATGTGGAGTGGGCTCCCAAAGTCCATTTGTATACTAGCCTTTTCCCCTTTTTAAAAGGAATAATTAATTTATCTTTATTCTGTAGTATGTCTAATATATTAAATGTAGTCTATTGTGATCTCTTTCTGTAATTTTACTGTTGCTGCTGAAATGGAATTTGATTTTTAAGTAAAATAATGATGTATCCAACATAGCAGCTACTCAGGAGGCAGAGGCAGGTAGATCTCTCTAAGTTCAAGGCCAGCTTGATCTACACAGTGATCTGTCTCAGAAACACAGTGAATCTGTCTCAGAAAAAAAAAAAAAAGTAATCTAACTTACCACTAGATATTTTTCTTTTAGTTTTTAAACCTCAAAGCATTGCCCCCCCCACCCCGGTAATATATAGAAATTGACTGAAAAGAACAGTTAGTTTTAGATCTGAGATTACCCTTGAAAATACAATGTAATTTTTTAGACAAAAATATATTTAATTGAATTTTAACCATTGTTTGCAAATGTAAAACTTGATCTCATATTTTCCCATTACTTCTGTGTTTTTTGTGTATTGAAGCTTCTGGGTTTTGCACAAGTTAGGTTTGTTTTGTTTTGTTTTGTTTTTGCCTCACAGTTTGCTGTTTGTCTCCAAGTTCTTTGAGCATCACCCAGTAACACAGGAGGAGGCTTCCTTAGCAGAGACTGCCCTTACATCGGGATCTCCTTCTGCACCCCCCTCAGACTCTATTGGGTATGATTTGATTCCTGCTGTTTAATGACATGATATTTGAACTGCCTTCCTTTGGATCTTTTGGGTAATTGTAAACCTTTCCAACATTAGAACTGTTAAATTATGGATATTTTTCCCCAATAATGTGTTTTATCCCAGCATTCAAGCATTTACATGCATTTGGTCCAGAATGGTATGGTGGTTACACCTTTAACCCAGCACTCATGAGGCAGAAGTAGGCAGATCTCTGTGGGTTGAAGGCTGACCTGGTCTGCACAGTAAGTTATCTCAAAAAACCAAAAACAGACACAAACAGTCAGTCAGTCAGTAAATCAATGGTATTAAAGCTGCTGTAGACTATATTTTAAGATCAGTTGTGAAAAAGTCAACATGAAATTTTTGCATTCTGTCTTTTATTTACCATTTTATCAGGTAATGTTATGACTTCTGCTTAAAAAATACTAGTAAGTGGGGCTAGAGAGATGGCTCAGAGGTTAAGAGCACTGACTGCTCTTCCAGAGGTCCTGAGTTCAATTCCCAGCAACCACATGGTGGCTCACAACCATTCCTTATGAGATCTGGTACCCTCTTGTGGTATGCAGATATACATGGAAGCAGAATGTTGGATACATAATAAATAAATAAAATCTTTAAATACTAGTAAGTTGATGACGATTTTTTAAAAGTACAAATAATAATAAAGTATATTAAACTTTGATTAAGTATTTTATATTTGTAGGATGCAAGGAAATATAATGCACTCAAGAATGCTTAATGGAGATGGGATTTAAACTGATCTTTAAAAATTGCTAGAAGCTAAATGAACTTAGGGTATCAAAGTCAATATTAGGGTCCAGCGCAGAAAGCAGATTTCAGAGCTAGTCAAAAAGCTTATCTAAATTTACAAGTAGCATGTGTGAGCCTGTTGTGGTGCACACTTCTAGAATCCCAGCACTTAGTAGGCTAAAGCAGAAAGTTGGTGAGTTTGAGCCTAACCTTTGCTACATAGTGAGACCATAATTTCAGTTAACAACAAAAAACCTGGAGAAGAAAAGTGTGTGGCCAGGTAATAGAGAATCTTGACATTGAGGCAGGCTAGTATTTACTTGGGATATGACAACATAAGAGAATAAAGGTTTTTCAAACAAGTTAACCACTATTGGAGATATTTTTAAAGTAAATTCACTTAGCAGTGAAATACAGATGGACAGGAAAAAATAGGGTGAGGACCTAAACTTCAGGGGAGGCAATATGCAGAAAGGAAGGGTATTAATAAAGGAAAAAAAGGAAAGTAGTAATAGTACTGTCAGCTTAAGAGGAAAAGCAAGAATTTACTTTAAAAATATCTCCAAGGCACTATATTCATAGTAGGAAATAGACAATTATTTAGGTTGACTCTTAAATATTTTTTACATGGTCTGTTACTCTTTTCCCATTGTATTTAAGGCAAGATTATTTATTATTTTTTGTCTGGAAGTATGTACTTTTTAAAAAGGACATTGCCAAATAACATATTGGCCTGGAATGTTTCAGAAGTGTTTAGTTCACAAGTATTTGTTTTAATTTTACCTGCTTCCTCCTGTTCTTCACAATATGCTATTTCTTTAGACTGTAAAAAAAAACGTACTTATGTATTCACTGCTTGTTTATTGTGTGGGTGGTGATATGTGGGTGTGCATATGTGGAGGTCAGGGACAACTCTCTGGAGTCAGTTCTCTCGCTCCACTGTGGAACCAGGGATCAAACTGAAGTGGTTAGGCTTTCATGACAATCACTCACACACAGCCATCTGCCCGGCCTGTATTTCTTTAGATTATACCTTAAAGTATGAGAACAATAATAAGTTGATACTTTTAATAGGCCTGCAATTTTTATGCAGCTAACCTTCCTAAGGTTACACAGGTTAAAAAAATATCAAAATAGGGGCTGGAGAGATGGCTCAGTGGTTAAGAACACCGACTGGTCTTCCAAAGGACCTGGGTTCAATCCCAGCATCCACATGGCAGCTCACAACTGTCTGTAACTCCAAGATCTGACACCCTCACACAGACATACATGCAGGCAATGCATATAAGGTAATAAATAAACAATTAAAAGTAAAAAAGGGGGGGGGGCTGGAGAGATGGCTCAGAGGTTAAGAGCACTGACTGCTCTTCCAGAGGTCCTGAGTTCAATTCCCAGCAACCACATGGTGGCTCACAACCATCCTCTATGACATTTGGTGCCGTCTTCTGGTGTGCAGATATATATGGAAGCAGAATGCTGTATACATAATAAATAAATAAAATCTTTTTAAAAAAAAGTAAAAAAAAAATCAAAATAAATTTCTGTTTCCAGGAGTAGTGGCTCATTTCTATAATCTCAGTACTTAGGAGGCTGAGGCAGGAAGAGTGCCATTAATTTGAGCTCAGCATAGGCTAGATCAAGACAGAGTCTCAAAAATAAATTGGAGGATAGGTATATAGCTCAGTCAGTAGAGTGCTTACCTAGCACGTACAAAGCCTTGAATTGTATTCTCAGCACCACATACTCTAGACATGCTTGTTTCTATAATCCCAGCGCTTGGGGTTAGATGGAGAAAGAGACTTAGAAGTTCAAGATCACCCTCAGGAAGTGTTAGACAGATGTTTCAGAAGGGGTAGGGAGGCTGGAGATTGGGCTCAGCACTTAAGATGTGCAAGAATGAAGACCAGAGCTCAGATCCTAGCACCCCTCATAACAGCCCAGGCATGGGCCCACAGACACCTGTAATGCCAGCAGCAAAAAGGGGTAGAGACAAGAGGATTGCTGGGACTTGCTGGCTTACGATCTAAGTTGAAAGAGTTAGAGTTCCAGATCAAAGAGAGACCCCTCTGCAAATTAGGCAGAAAGTAACAGAAGGCCACCCAATGCCCTCCTTTGGGTTTGTTCTGGCATGCATGCACCCCCCTCCTCACCACCACATAGAATCGGGGATGTGTCTGAGATGAAATGACTCCTCAGTAGGTAGACGTGCTTGCCATAAAAGCGTGACTATGTAAATTTGACAAAGGCTGAATGTGGTGGTCATCCCAGCACTCCTACAGCAGGATGGGGAGACAGGAACAAGAGTATTAGCAGAAGTCTACTCGCATAGACCTTGCCTTAGAAATAGAAAGAGAACTGGCTCCAAAAAAATTCTTCTAACCTCCATGTGTGCACCATGGCATATGCACACCTGCAAACACACACACAATAAGTTTTAAATATAAAACAGTTTTATTGTCGGGCAGTGGTGGCGCACACCTTTAGTCCCAGCACTTGGGAGGCAGAGGCAGGCAGATCTCTGTGAATTCGAGGCCATCCTGGTCTCTAGAGCGAGTGCCAGGACAACCTCCAAAGCCACATAGAGAAACCCTGTCTGGGGGTGGGTCGGGGACAGTTTTATTCTAACTAGTGAGTATATTATATTTTTATATCACTAGGACATGCAACCACTCTGTAATTTTGTCAGATTTTAACTCTATCTCTTTTGGCTCTATTTGTGTGTTTTTGTAGGCAATTGAATCAAAATATTGTTGTTTGGCTATGGCAATTTCTCCTGACAGTCTGTAGACCTGTGATGCTTTTCCAATGGCAGGTCCCAGGTCTGTGAACAGAATTGTAGAACATAATGAAATTAGCTTGGCCTCTCTGAAGGATCATATGGTAAAAATACAATTTGTCTCCAAGTAAAGGAATGCTGTTTTAAAATTAAGAAAATGAGGCTGGAGAGATGGCTCAGTGGTTAAGAGCATTGACTGCTCTTCTGCAGTTCCCAGGTTCAGTTCCCAGCATCCTCATGGCAGCTCACAACTATCTGTAATTACAGTTCCAGAGAACCCAACACTCATGGCAGAATACCAATGCACATAAAACAAAAATAAATAAATGAAAATTAAGAAAGCATTTGCCCCTGCCACATGTATTATTTTCTTAACTAGAATAAAATGGATTCTTGTCTTGAAAAATGTGCAAACTGTGCTAGGCAGTGATGGTGCACACTTTTAATCCCAGCACTTGGGACACAGAGGCAGGTGGATCTCTGTGAGTTTGAGGCCAGCCTGGTCTACAGAAAATGGCCATCATGTCAGTTATATTCAGTATCACAATATTGCATTTGTTACTAGTCCTGACAGCAGTTGTAACGGTCCTGAAACAAGTATAGGTATAACAAGAAATTTTGAAAAATTAATACATTGCCCAGTTTATAATACAAAGTAAGAGATAATTACTTCATTTTTATGTATCAGTGAGCAGACAGTCACTTTGCTTCAAAAATATTTTTTAGTCTAGCCTAAAACTGAAATCTAAACTAACAGTGATTTTCTAAACAGTGTTAGAATTAAAATTCTGTTTATTTTTAATTTTAAAAAGGTTTGTGGCAGGGTCAGTAAAAAGATATGCCACTGGGAGAAAGTCAACTAGAGGTTAGCCAAAGTCCTTTATAGGTTGGTTATAAATTATCTTGCTCCAAGAAAAGATTCCAAGTATGCAAATGCAATTTTAACAGTTTTCCAAAAATGATCAGAGTTGGGAATATACTGGTTTAAATTAAACAAAATTAAAACAGACTAAATGAGAATATACCTGTTACCTAAACCAGACATGCTGGATAGGCCTGAACTTTTCATTGGGAAGATATCAATGAGAAGCCAAATTATTATTAGATATTTTTGTTACGCATTGAATTAAGACTTTGTGTAGATATTTGAATATATTGAATATGATTATGAAATATTTTTCGTAATTATATACTTGCCTTCAAGGCTAGACAGGTTAACTTTGAGCCAAGGCACGCCTTCCTCTCCAGATGGTATTAATCTGTCACATTGATTTTATGTAACAGGCCTTCTCTCTTACAAATTAAATACAGGGTTTTGTTTCTCCTTGTTTCTAGATCACTGTCTTTTGTATACAGAGTTCTGGCTTGTTGTCCAGTATATTATTTCTGTCACTCAGGAAATTTCAGGAAAGATTTATTGCTTGTCACCTGTTATATTAATTAGACTTTCTATACAGTTCTGGTTAATTCATGCTTTTCCAGTTTTTAGTCCTGAGTTAAAGGGTGCTATTGTCCTAAGACTGCAAATAGCTTATCAATTTGTACTTCTCAACGCGTTATAAACTAAAAGAATTTTTTTTTTTTTTTTTTTTTTAAGATTTACTTATTATGGATACCATGTTCTGTCTGCGTGTATGCCTGCAGGCCAGAAGAGGGCACCAGATCTCATTATAGATGGTTGTGCTCCACCTTGTGGTTGCTGGGAATTGAACTCAGGACCTCTCACGGCCCAGAATTTTTACATTTTTTTAACTGTTGAAAAATTCCTTAGCAAAGACCATATTTAGCTTTAGCTTTATAAAACAAGAATAAGGACAGCTTTTGACACAAACAGAATTTCTCGGTGGCCAGAAAACATAAAGGATACAGATGAAACATGGTACCTTTCCCAAAATCCAATTCCATTCATCATAATTGGGCTTATGCTAAGTCTTTTAGTGAATAGTGTTTATTTGCTATTGATTTCTAAACAGACTCGTGTAGTTAATATGAATCTCCTGAAGTAAGTTTTATCCTTATGATCATGTGCTACTGATTCTGGTAACATGCTTTATTCAGAGGCTTTTTGTCACACTGGGCTTAACAAAATGTTATTCTGTCTTTTCCTACTACTTTTTTTTTCTTTTTCTGTTTTTTAAAGATTTATTTGTTTATTATGTATACAGTGTTCTGCCTGCATGTATGCCTGCAGGCCAGAAAAGCTCACCACGTCTCATTACAGATGGTTGTGAGCCACCATGTGGTTGCTGGGAATTGAACTCAGGACCTCTGCAAGAGCAGTCAGTGCTCTTAACCTCTGAGCCATCTCTCCAGCCTGCTTTCACTTTAAAATTGTTATATAGTTATTTAATATGTTTTCATGTGCATTCCAAGGCACATGTGTGGAAGTCAGAAGATAGCTTTGGGGAAACAGGTCTTCTTCCACCATATAGGTCTCAAGAATCAATCCCACGTCGTTAGGCTTAGTAGCAAACAACTTTTTATCCACTGGGTGAGCTCACTGGCCTCTCCTTTTATATGTTCTTACCATTCTTTTCTAATTTCCCTTATTAAATGTCATTGTTATCTCTTTCTAATCTAATAATGATTTAATAAAACTGGTTGGTTTTTATAATATGGGGTAAAATGGTGACCAGTACGTGAAAAGAATGGTCCATGTTGGACCATCCATGGTCCGGTTGAAGTTTAGTCAGAGCCTCATTGTATCCTCTGCAAGCAGTAATCACTTCCCTATTCCTGAGAATCTTTACAAGTGTTTTATACTTTAGTTTCAAATTTTCAGTGTGCACCATGCTAGGCTCTTCTAGGCCAGCAATCATAGATTCTATTATCTGACAAAAAAAGAAAACAAGGTCACTCTGTAACCTATTAGGGTATTTTAATCAAAAAATAATTTTAGGGCTGGGAAGATAACTCAGTAGCTAAAGTGCTTTCCATGCAAGCTTGAGGACTTGAGTTTGGATTCCCATTGCCCACTTAGAAAGCTGGGCTCTGGCTGTCTGAATCCATGACCCCAGTGCTGGGAAGACAGACAAGAAGACTTTTGGAGTTTGCTGGCCAGCCAGTCTAACCAATTGTAAATTCTGGGTTCAATGAAAACACCCTATCTCAAAAATTAAGATGGAAAGGACACCAGTTTCTGGCTTCCCTTTGCACCTCCAAAACACACACTCCATGACACCATTGTGGCTTTCCTGTGTACCCCCAAACCATACATCCCAAGTTTCTGTTTTAATATTTGCTTCAATGTTTCTTTCCTTTTTTTTTGTTGTTTGTTTGTTTGATTTTTTGTTTTTTTTCGAGACAGGGTTTCTCTGTGGCTTTGGAGGCTGTCCTGGAACTTGCTCTTGTAGACCAGGCTGGTTTCGAACTCACTGAGAAACCCCTGCCTCTGCCTCCCTAGTGCTGGGATTAAAGGTGTGCGCCACCACCGCCTGGCCAGTGTTTCTTATTATATGATAATTTCTTGTGTCTGGTGTTAATAATTAGACATGAAAAAACATTTTGAATATGAAAGATAATTGCCACCACATTGTCTTCCAAAATTTTGGAAATTATCTTTAGATATTGTAGAAATTTTGTTCAACACTGGCATTAAGCAGCAGTTATATCTTTGGGGTCCTGAAATATACAGGTATATTCTCAAAATGCTTTGTAACTTCCTAAGTACTTCCTTAAATTTTTCATTTGAGTAATATCAGATTATGAGAAACAGTATTTAAGAAACATCGTATTTTATTCAGCTAGTCTCTGCCTGGAGCATTTTATTTTTGTATATAATTTTAAAGGATAAGGGCTGCTTGTGCTGATTAGCCACAGGTAGTTTCTAGCCATTTATAGATTCCTCTGGAGTTTTCTGGATCAGAATCACTGTTCTTCTATGATGATAGTCCCTGGAAGCTCTGCTTTTGAGTAGATCATTGGCAGTATTAGTTGTAGTTATGTTTTTTAAACAAATACTTTTTGTGAAGCTACTACTACTACTACTAGAATTTTGATTCTTCAAAGATTATCATATTAAATACAAAAATCTTGTAACTTTCATTTTAAGTATTATTATCTATACAATTGCTCCAAATCTTATTTTCCAATGACTTGATTTTTCCAGGCCCCAAATCCTCACCACTCCATCTCCTTCAAAATCCATTCCAATTCCACAGCCCTTCCGACCAGCAGATGAGGATCATCGAAATCAGTTTGGGCAGCGAGACCGGTCCTCCTCAGCTCCCAATGTTCATATAAACACAATCGAACCTGTCAATATCGATGTAAGTACTAGCATTGCTAGAACTAAACAGTTCGGTTGTGCTTCTTTTTTTTTCTGGTGTATTTCTAATACAGATTGGAAGTAAATGCCACCTTTCATTTATCATGTAAGTGCTAGGTTCATATGAATTACAGATCCAGAAACCCTGTCATCTTCTGTGACAATATGAAGTACTTCTCTATTGCCAAGTTACAGTTATTGTCACTTTTTTCTGATGTTATCTCTGAAAAGGTTTTAAATTAAAATGATTTGAATTAATAAGAATTAATAGAAGCCCTTCAGTGAATTTATGAAGTCCTTCCTAAGATTTTTGTGCAATTATTATTGTGTTATAAAAATAACATTAAGAATTTATATTTGTTCTGTCATGAGTTTGGCATTATAACCAACAAGCGATTCTATGTACATATTTTCAATCATGTAGCTGGAACTGTAACTTAAATTTTATTAACTGAAAGAAATGCTTTATTATAAATTTAAATTTAATTGCCAAGACAAATCTCAAGTAAAGGATTCTAAAATCAGAATTTCTTTCTACTTTTTATTATGTTTTTGCCCTATTCATTTAAGTGGCTTTTTCTTAGTGCCATTTTTAACTAAGCCGTCATCCAGTCTCTAAGGAAGTGAGAAGTGAGAGAAGGAGATAGGGAATAAGGATCTTGGGAAACAAGGAGTCAGAGCGTATTTGTAGGTTAGGCATGTTCTTGGTGTGTTCAAGGTTATAATCTGCAAATGAATTTGAAAACAAACATTTTTTTATACTACTTCCTTTTTTCTGGTGCTGATTGTTCTGTTTCTTGGGCTTAGCTATTTGAAGAATTGCTTTATGTCTTCCTCTTTCATCCTTTTCATAACTGCCATAACATAACACATTTTCCTCTTTATGTGTGTCTCAAATTGTTCTGACTTACTGATATCGCCATTTGATTCCATAACCCTTCATTTGAGTTGACTGCATTCATTCCTACCATTAATTTTTCTTCGTCCATTTCCATCCAGATGCTCTCACCAGGATAGTTTTTGTTTTGTTTTGTTTTATGATACTTTTATCATGTGTTCCCTTGTTTGAAAGCTTTTAGTTTTTATTCATGCTCAGTCACTTATCTGAGGAAAAAAAAAAAAAAACTTTGACTCTGGGCTCAGCAATTGGGGATTTAGGATGAATTAACACACCATTTTTGCCCTCTATGATATCACAGTTTAGTGCATGAATCAGGGATGCAAATATATATTGATAGTTCACAGAATGGGTGTGATGAGCTCTACCTGATTGGATGTAGGAATATTTAGCAATGAATGGATGACCTTGAAGTTATACTGTAGAAGGTAAATGATAAGGGATTTATTAAGTACACTATATAGGGAATTATTTTTTTAAAGTATTTGTTAAGGAAATAGTATATGCAATGTTGTAGAGTTGCCTTTACTTGGGAGGAATTAATAGGTGATACCGTAGGAGTTCAGAGCTCAGGATAGGGCTGACAAATGGTGGCAGGTGAAAGCAGGCAATGTCAACACTGACTGATTTCATGCATTACAAAACGTCATTGTTTTGAGTATACTAGGTTTGTAAGTATGGTGGTATATCACAGCTGACCAAAAACACATTTTAAGTGTGATAAATCATCTTGATAATTCAGAAAAGTCTTTAGTAGTAGTCTGACATATGTAAGGGCAGAACTGACAAGAGTGTGTCTTCTGCTGTGTTCTAGGCAAGATACGATACATGTGTGAACTCCAGTGGTGTTAGTGGATAGACAGAGAGAGCAAATGACTTGAGGGGTTGAAGAGTGGAGACTATCGGGGTAGTGTTTTTAGAAGTCATGGAAATGACTGAGTGCTTACTGTGTGTCAGGTACTATGTTAAGTGCTTTACAAAGGTGTTCTTGGTCAAACCTCATGAGAAACAAATTATCTTATTGTGAAGGATATCCAGTTAATAAGAGTCTAAGAAACCAACCCATGATCACATAACTAATAAATGACTGAAATGGACTTAAGTCATTTAAACCTGGCTCTATTTTCTTGTACTTATCAGTACACAAGAAAAGTTAAAAGGAAACAGAAGATAATCGTTGGCTTTCTGGCATATAGACACTTGAATATAACCCAGGGCAGAGTTTATATAGAAACCTATAAAAAAAATTACAGTTTTGTATTTTGTCCAGAGTGATTTTAGTATACCTGTGGGAATATTATGACTTCAAATAGAGATATAGCTTAAAGAAAATCAGTGTGCGTGTTTTAATCAGAGTATAAATTATGTTCCTCAAAAAGTAAATTAAATTGGAAAAAGTAAAAAACAACCCTGAAGAATAGAAAAAGAAAACATGACCTGGTGAATGTTAACATTGTAGCAGAGACCATTTCTTTCTGGGTTACCTTTGTGAACTCTTTGCAAGTGTACTGCAGAAACCAAGGAAGTCGGCTTCTACAACACTGATGGGAAACAGTTAAGAATGCTGACTGCTCTTCCAGAGGTCCTGAGTTCAATTCCCAGCAACCACATGGTAGCTCACAACCATCTCTAGTGCAATCTGATGACCTCTTATGGCATAAAGGTGTATACTCATACATAAAATAAATAACTCTTTAAAAAATGCTGATGGAGAGGATGCCACTTACTGTCAAGATACAAATGAGATAAGGACTAAAATGAGTATTGCTTTTGACAATTAAATACCATGGGGGTAGGGGACTGACAAGTTTCAGCTGATACGGGTACCTGCTATATACCAGGTGGTGATGGCACATGCCTTTAATCCCAGCACTCAGATGGATCTCTGTGAGTTAGAGTCCAGCCTGGTCTACAGAGCCTGGTCTACAGAGTTCCAGGGCAGCCAAGGCTATACAAAGATACCCTATCTTGAAAAAAAAAAAAAAGTACCTTTTATAAAAGCTTGGCCAACTGATATCCAGAGCCCACAGTAGAGGGAGAGAACTAACTCCAGAAAGTTGGCTTCTTACTTCCACACAAACTCCGTGGCACATACTTATGTAGACACACACACACTTTAAAAATTATCTTGTGGCGCACTCCTTTAATCCCAGCACTTGGGAGGCAGAGGCAGGTGGATCTCTGTGAGTTCAAGACCAGCCTGGTCTATAAGAGCTAGTTCCAGGACAGCAGCCTCCAAAGCCACAGAGAAACCCTGTCTCGGAAAAAAACAAAAACAAAAGCAAAACATTTGTGCTGTGGCATACAGCTCAATGATAGAGCATTTGCTTAACATGTATGCCTTAGACTCAATCACCCAGCACCATTAATTTTTAAGTTTTGGGGGCTAGGCATGGTAATGTTCACCTTAATCCCAGCACTCAGGAGGCAGAAGCAGACAGATTTTGTGAGTTAATGACCAACCTAGTCTATACAGCAAGTTCTAGGCCAATGAGAGATCATATCTCAAACAAATCAGCAACTAATTAGGGATTTTAAAGTTGTTTTGACTTCAAAGGCAAATAGAAAAGGGCAGGATAGGAAATGGATTATCAATGCAAATTTGAGTAATAGTTGCTTTTAAACTAAGATTTCAGCATATTTTATAACAGGAGAGAAAGAAGCTAATGAAAAGAAGTTGAGGTAGTAAGTGGAGAATATTTGATAAAATTCCTTGAACTTGAAAATGATGTCTTGCAGGGGCTATGATAACTTAAAAGTAGATATATCTCCTTACACACTGCATGAACTAGGACAAATTTCTTAGCCTTAGGGCTGGTAAAAATCTGAATATTTTTTTTCTTATTTTGCTTCATTTTGTTTAATGTGTATCCCTGGCTGGAATGAATACACACACACACACACACACACACACACACACACACACACACACACACACACACGTGTGTATATATATATATATGTATGTATGTATATATGTATGTATTCATATTTCATGTATACATTGCAGACCAGAAGAGGGCACCAGATCCCATTACAGATGGTTGTGAGCCACTATGTGGTTGCTGGGAATTGAACTCAGGACCTCTGAAAGTACAGTGGGTGCTCTTAACCCCTGAGCCATCTCTCACTTTTATGTAAATCATTTTGTTCTCAAACTGGAACTTTTATGTAAATCATTTTGTTCTCAAACTCAAGTTCAGTTTGCCTCTGCCTCCTGAGTGCCAGGATTAAAGGCATGTACCAGCATGTTCAGCACTTGAAATGTTGGATTTGGGGAAAGGGTTAGGGTTAATATGATCCATGCCTTAGTCAGAAACCCATGTCCAAAGCAACTCTTACAAAAAAAGGCATTTTATTGGGGGCTTGCTTACAGTTTCAGAGGTTTGGTCCATTATCATCATTGTGGGGAGTGTGGTGGCAGGCAGGCAGGTTCTAGAGCAGCAGTAGTTGAGAGTTTTGTATTTGATCTGTGGGCAGAGATAGGCAGCCAGACTGAGTCTGGCATTGGCTTTTGATAGCTCCCAGTGACATACTTCCTCCAACAAGGCCACACCTACTCCAGCCTAATCCTTTCAAACGATTACAATCCCTGGTGACTAAGCATTCAAACCTATGAGCCCATGGGAACCAAACTTACTCAAACCACCACAGTACATAAAAAGAATTTAAAAGTCAGCCAGACATTGTGGTACACATCTGTCGTCTTGGCACTGGGAGGTAAAGGCCAGAGGGGGACAGAGGAGAGTGAGTGACTTTAGACACTATGGCAGATATTCATAGATAACGAAGATATTGCCAGAAGGTCTTGGGTGGCTCGTTTCTTCTGTGATGCTGAATCAGCAGGATGTGATAAGGGACTAGAAGCGATTAGGGGGAACAGTTGACATAGTAGTTGTAGAATACTAGAACATCCTATCTAACTTAGATCAAGTGAGTCAACAAGGACCTTTTAAGAACACTCGTGAGATTGAAAAGTGTGAGCTAAGAGTAGAGAAATCTACATTTGGCCATAGCTGTGGGGAGTTCCAGAGCTAGTGTAGGTAAACACCTGTGGGTCCTCCTGTCTAGAAAGCCCTTTGCTTTTCTGCATGTCAGTCTTCCTCACAGCCCCAAATCAGATTTCTTCAGCTGCTTCACCAGTGCCAAAATCCTAGTGTCATTTCTTTTGCACCATGGTTACCAGTTCTCACAGACCTGGGTGCTGGAAGCCCAGCATCATCTTAATCTTAAGGTATATCACTAGAAGTCCTGTCTACACCACCACTTAAATAAGGTATATCACTGGAAGTCTTGTTCAACACCACCACTTAAATGGTAGCGAATTAGCGCAAACTGATCTCTCTCTTATTCTTAAGCTGTTACTTGTTTTCCATGTGTCTGTATCTCACAGTGTGTTTGTAAATTCTCAAAACCACCAAAAGGTAGTGACAACACCAAGATTTTTATATTATAGTAGCCAGACAACCCCAACACCTAGGTCATTGTTTGAAATTATTGGTATTTATTAATTTTTCTGTAGACAGTGTTAAAGGTTTTGTGTAATACATTGAACATGGATGGTAGTGATACACTAGTAAAGAATTTGTTGGTTATTTTACTCAATAGGCCTGTTTGCAAATGGCCCCTATTTGGAACTAACCTTTTTAGAGACATTTGGGGCCATTCAAGCCCTCACGCATAAGTTAAACTGAACAATCATAAGTTAAACTGAATAAACTAATCCAAGTTCTGCAGACTGGGATCCAAATTTCATTGCATATGAAATTTCCCCTGCTACTGACATTGTTGTAGAAGCTATATTTTAAATAATAGAGACAAACAAAATCCTTATTTGAGCTATTTTGATTCCCTTCCTTTTTAATGTTGTATATCCACATTCCTATGATAGTATTCAATGTACTTTTGATTTCGTGTTTTTTTATTACATGTAAACATGTTTCATGTTTTAAGTTTCATAATTGTTTTGGTAAATGCATACTACTCATTAAATTGATACACCATAACCATAATATGTCAAAATGCCTATCAGGGAAATAATATTTCTGGTTTGGGGTGTGATGGATAATGTTGCACTAAACATCTTTGTGCATATCATATTTTCTTCTGAATTATTTCCTTAGGAAAAATTCCCAGAAGTGGAATTACAGGATCAAAGGGTATGAACATTTTTATGGCTCTTAATATGTGCCAATAGAATTTTCTTTAAGAATTGATGAAGCCACTGAGTGGCCTGAAATGGATTTCAGCATTTGATCAGGACTAGTAATCCTTTCTTGTAGGGCTAGGCTGGCAAGTGCTTCAATCTTTAGTGTTTATCATATACACTAGCTAATTTCATAGCCTTTGTTTTGTGAAATAATTGTAAGACAGGTTTTGTTTTGAGTTAACCCTTCTACTAATGCATAGTGAAAAATTCATTTGTTGTTATTTTTTACTGTGTGCTTTGAATAAATGTATTTTACTATTTGTTTATAGGATTTGATTAGAGACCAGGGGTTTCGTGGTGATGGAGGAGGTAAGTAGTGATTTTAGGGTTTTGTTTTTTTGTTTGTTTGTTTTAAAGGCAAAAATGCAATTGCTTTGCTGCTTGTCTCCTTTAGCTTTTTTCATGAAACAGACACAGAGAAAAATGTGTAGAGAAAACCAAATGGGTTTTTGTTTTGTTTTTTATAGTAGTTATTATCATTTACTGCTAGCAGAATTTAAAATTATCCATAACATGTAGAGAAAATGAGAAGACATAAAAGATAGTCTTAAATGTACCATCCACAATTTTAAAATACACTACCAAAGAGAGAGCTTTAATTATTTTATCCACTTTTTAATTTTTGCTGCCTCCAACTCTGGAGTTACTAAATTTCTTTTGGCCTCCACTATATACTCCACTAGAGGCACTTAGAATCAGGTTAAATCATTCTAAATCACTTTTTGTGGTTGCCTGCCACATCTCCTCAGTTTTTCAAACTTCATCAAGCATTTCTCATCAGCTTTCTAGAACTATTTGAAATGTACATTTATTTCATGGAATGATCCATAATGGAAAATGGATCCTCTTTCAGTTATCCTCTTACTGGTATAGTAAAGAAAACTTACACATGAGAAATTCCATTACGATTTCTTACAGAATTTTCATCTAGCCTCCCAAGTGTGATAGCATATGCTTGTGATCCTGGCTGAGGCAGGAGGAACATGAGTTTGAGGCTAGCCTAAGTCTACATAGCAAGACTCTCTCAAAAAATAAAACAAGAAAACTCTGTGATAATGTGTCTTGTATATTTTCTAAGAGATGGCAGTTGAGACTGTTGAAGTTTTCTTGCAAGAGGTCCTCTGTGTTCACCTCCTCAGCTGACTTCTGTCTCACAAAAAAGACCGTATTAGCTACACACCATCCCTAGAGCTGGGTTCTTCACTGTGACCTCCTGTGTCTTCAAAATAGGTCCAAACCCAGACTCGATATTTTATACTGAATAAATACTGTATAAGCCATATATCATTGTGGTTCTGTACTCCTGTGAGGATATCAAATAACAAGCATGAATTATGTACTTAATATTAACTGTATCACATAGTTATTCAAGAGTTTTTGTTGTTTGTTATTCCATGAGCCTGCCAATTAATGTTGCTGCCAGTTTGACTTTCATATGTCTTAATAGCTGTGGCTGCTGCTGATTTTGCCCAATACATCCAGCATTTGAATGTTTCCATCATGTTAGCGTCACAGCTAACCTAGTAAACAGCCTGCTTAGTACCTGAAATCACATGGCATTTCTTATCCTTGTTATGAGTCAGTTTAAAAAAAATCATTGGGGTTTTTATGAAAATATAAGCAGATTTTTGAAAAAAAACGTCCAGAATTATTTTGTGAAGCAGGCTTCAGTTCATCTAATTTATCCCCATGACTTCTTTCATTTCTTCTGTGTGTCTGTCTTCCTGTGTTTGCCTGCCCCTCTCTTTCTCTTCTAACAGCCCCCTTGAACCAGCTGATGCGCTGTCTTCGGAAATACCAATCCCGGACTCCCAGCCCCCTCCTCCATTCTGTCCCCAGTGACATAGTGTTTGATTTTGAGCCTGGCCCAGTGCTCAGAGGTAGTTGGGCTCTTCTTTCTTGTTTCCACCCAAGCAAACCAAATACAAACTCCAGACTCTGTTTGTGCCTCACCTCACAACGTGTGTTTGCAAGTGTGAGAGTTTTAAGTACTAAATTTCTGCTTGGCCTGGCTGGAATGCTCTGAATGTGCTTTTCACACATACTCACTACGGCAAGCTTTCTGTATGCTGTCCATTACACATTTTTAAAAGCAAGACAATTCTGAGTTGGGATTTCCATCTTGCTTATTGTTGTCTTATTTCTGTTTGGTCTTGATGATTTCTTAAGTTCTGGGTAACATGGGCAGGATCCTTTTTACTTTAGTCCATTAGATGATAACTTTGATTAAGTAATACTAATATTTTTTAAGAAAATAAAAATGTAAATGTAAACCCCTATGAAAAGGTTTTTATGTTGGGCATGTTGGCTCATATCTGTAACCTTTGCACTTGAGAAGCAGAGGCAGGAGGAAAATCACTGCAGGTTTGAGGCCAGAGAGAATTTTATGACACTTTTGACAGTTTTGTTGTTGTTGATGTTTTGGGTTTTGGGGTATTTTTGGTTTTTTTTTTTTTTTGAGATTTTGTAATATAACTAATTTTTTGTTCTTTATTTTTCCTCTTATATGTGATATATTTTGACTAATCCATGAACATAAGTTCAGAAAAATTGAATCTATATATATTAAATTATACTCTCATGTGAGGGAAGTTAGTAATATAATTGTAGTCTCCTATTTTACTGTCACATTTTAATTTATTGTTAAATTAACTTTTAAATTTAAGATAAAATTAAATTTAAGATAAAGTTTGGGTACCTTATTTTAAAACTTCTGGGTTATATTTACTGTCTCAATATACTTAGTAACCTATACTTAATGTAATGATGGTGCTTTAGAGTTTCCCATCAACGTAGCTGTCCTTAGATGCAGTGGACCTCATTCAGTACTCAGAGATGTGATGTAACTAAGTGATTCAGTAAACAAGAACTGTGCATGAGGCATGGACAAGATGTTAACTGCTTTATAATGTTGGAAATTATCACTGCTTTCTATAAAATGTATTGTTCTCTAGTTAATACAATGTAATGATTATAAAACATCTATCCAGATTTAGCCTTTAGATACTGTCATTGGCATCCTTGCTGTGTGAAAGAACATGACCCTTTTTTTACCCTTGAGAGCAGTCTATTTTATAATTCCTTGGATATTTTTGCTGCTGTATATGGAAATCTCCCTGGAAATCTCAGTCCTATTCGCTCACTATGTACTCTGTGGAGTCATTGCTCTAACCTCCTCTGTCCCATGTACCCTCTGTGCTTCTGCTAACTGAGCCTACTTATAAGGTTCATGTGCCTTATACAATATTGATACATATCTGAAATACAACTGGGATGCCATAGCATTTATTTGGTCTCCTTTATAATATTAAGTTTTTCAGGAAGTCTTGAAAGCCTGTTGAGCAGGGCTGGAGAGATGGCTCAGCAGTTAATAGCACAGGCTGCTTTTCCAGAGGATCAGGGTTCAATTCCCAGCACCCACATGACAGCTCACCACTCTCTATAACTCCAGCTCCAGGAGTTCCAACACCATCACATAGATACACATGCAGGTAAAACACCAGTGCACATAAAACAAACGTAAATAAATAATTTTTAAAAAGAAAAGAAAGAAAGCCAGGCCCTGGAGAAATGGCTCAGAGGTTAAGACACTGGATGGGTTCCATTCCCAGCACCCACGTGGCAGCTCACAACCAAAAGGGATCTAATGTCCTCTTCTGTCCTTTACAGGCACCAAGCAGACAAATGGTACACAGTCAAAGCACCTACGCACATAAAAAAACAAACAAACAAACAAAAATAAAACCAATAAAATAGTAACTTAAAAAAAAGAGGGAGAGAGAGAGAGAGGGAAGAAAGCCTGCTTAGCTTTGTTTATATTAACTTTTCAATAAAGGCAGCAATCTAAATTTAATAGAAAAAATTCCAGGGATCATGGACACTACCTATCATCTCTTAAATAATAGAGCTACAGTTTAAGAGCATATATAAATTTAGGGCTAATTTGTAAGAAATATTTTAACAGTAAGGACATAAAAAATGTTTCAGTTTTGAAGTTTACATGTTTTTGAAATATTGAGGCTATTGAATTATACAAAATAGTTTGTTTTGTAGAGTTTTGCATTGATTCTGTTGTTGGAATTTTGTTAGTTTTTTCTTTGTTTGTTGAGACAGGGTCTCTGTATTATGTGGCTCTGGCAATCCTGGAACTTGCTCTGAAGCCCAGGCTAGCCTCCAGTTCACAGAAATCCACCTGCCTCTGCATCCCGACTGCTAGGATTAAAGGTGTGTGGTACCATGCCTGTGCATTGGTTTTGATGTTTTAATTCTTTTTTTATCAAAGGCACAGGAACTTGGTAGTAAATTTTAGAAATTGTGCCTTGGTTTGGAGATTGTGTTTTTCTAGACTTGTTTATCTATCGTAACGTCATTAAATTGGCCAGAAAACACAAACAAAGCAGTTACAGCACTAATCACAAATAGTGCCTCCCTTGGCCTCCCCTTTGTACAAGGCCACTGTTGAAACATGCACTGCATTTTAAAGTCTAGATCTCCCCACTTCCTGCCCCTGGTAAGTGAGCATGCTTGCTCCTCCTCAGTGCTTCCTCTTACTCAACGTGGGTAATTTCCCCTTCCTCTGATTCAGGGTCAACTACAGGTTTGTCTGCCACCCCACCTGCCTCTTTACCTGGCTCGCTCACTAATGTGAAAGCCTTACAGAAATCTCCAGGACCTCAGCGGGAAAGGAAGTCATCATCATCCTCAGAAGACAGAAATCGGATGGTAAGGATATGTGATGTGTTTTCCCTGTAATCATAGCCAATACAGTTTACCATTTAGATATGTAATAGGACAGTGTGATGCAAATTTGAGTTAATAGTTTTCTTTTTCTTAAGTATAGTCACACAGAACTGATTTTTGTGCTCTCATTTCTAATCAAATTTTTACGAGGCCATTTTGAAAGGAAAATAATGATATTCTATTTCTAAAATAAGGAGAATGAGTATAAATAAACAAGTTTTCAGAAAGCATGATTAAGCTTGTATGTTCTAAAAGCTGGCTCAGAATTCAAGTATCTATCAAATGGCATTCTTCCATATTTGAAAATTAATTTTCTGCTATTTTTACCTTACCAAAGGAATAGGTGTATTGATTTCTTTTTATCTTTTTTTTCCCTTTTTTGATAACCAAGTCAATTAAGATATGTAAGGAAATATAGCACCAACAGTTGACCATAACATGTTAACGTAAAGTTTTAGGGATTTGAAGCCAAAACTAACCACAGATAGATAGCTGTTATCTTATTTCTGTAGTCCTCCAAATAGTTAAGATGCCATTTGATTTTAATTATAAGAATAGCAATGTGGACAGAAGTTTCATCCTGCCTAGTCCCTCAGCCCTTCAGTCACAAATAACACACAGAGGCTTATATTCATTATAGACTCTTTGGCCAGTGGCTCAGGCTTCTTACTGGCTAGCTCTCTCTTAATTATTAACCCATAACTACTAATCTGTGTATCTCCACATGACCTTATCTCACTGGAGAATGCCCGGGTGTCCTATCTTTCCAGTAGTCTCATGGAGTCTCGCTGGCAACTCACTCTCTCCTGGAATTCTCCTAGTCAGGTAGCCCTGTAGTTCCTGACTGTCCATTGGCCAAAACAGCTGTATTCATCAACCAATAAGAGCATTCAGAAGGACATCCCCCATCATAACAATATGTATTTCTACACATAATAAATTATTTTTATTTTAATTTTTTAGTTAGTACTTCATTATTTTATGTCTGTGGGTGTTGACTGAATATTGAATTGCATCATGTGCATGCCGGTGCTAAAGGAGACTAAAGAGTGCAATGGGTCCCCTGGAACTGAAGTGGGAGGGTTGTGAGCTGCCGTGTGGGTGCTGGGACTCGAACCCAGGCCTCTGGAAAAATAGCTGCTGCTCCTAAGTTCTGAATCATCTCTCCAGCACCAGTTATTTCTGTTTTTAAGTAATTTTCCATCCTAATATTGACCCATCTCAAATTTAATTTTGTATTTTGAGTCATGATTGTAACTTTTGCTTCCTCAGCATGGTGGCATTTTGTTATTTTCTTTCCTTGCTCTCTTCCTAACTTCCTGTCAGGCAGCAATATATTTAGCATGAAATGTAAGGATTTTCTCTTTTGTTTGCCTTGGCTTGACTTTTGCACTATATTTTTTGAGAAAACACTTGGTAGACGAGATTCAAGTGATGATTGGGAGATTCCTGATGGACAGATTACAGTGGGACAAAGAATTGGATCTGGATCATTTGGAACTGTCTACAAGGGAAAGTGGCATGGTATGTAAGTAATATGGTGCCATTGGCACAAGTAGGATATGTTTAAAAACTTTTGTTTAAAAATTCAAGCCAAAGCTGGACATGATGGCTTATGCCCTTAATACCAGCCCTCAGAAAGCAGAGGCAAGCCAGCCTGGTCTACAGAGCTTCCCGGGACAGCCAGGGCTACACAGAGAAACCTGTCTTAGGGGGTGAGGGGAGGGAGGAAGGAATGACAAGCCAGGCATTATGACACACACCTGTATTCCCAGCACTTAGGATGTAGAAGCATGAGCATTAGGAGTTCAAGGACATCCTTAGCTATGTAGAAAGTTCAAGGCCAACTTGAACCCTACAAGAGACTGTCTCAAGAACAAATACAAAGTCAAAACTAATCATTGTTTGCATCATTAAACTGTTTCATCAAATGCAGAAGTCCTCACAAAGGACTTCTCACAAAAATGATGGAACATTAAAAAAAAAAAAAAAAAAACTGGCTTCATGGTAGTCGAGGTTGTTGTCAGTATTTTATACTAGAGATTCAGAAAGATGAAGATCATCGAGCTGTCTAGTCCCAAAGGAAGTTCATTTTCCTTTTAAAAGTATTCCTTTTGATAATGTATGGGTATTATAAATCACAAGTAAACATAAAAATTGTTCAGCCTCACTAGTTTTCTGAGATTACAAAATTAAAAGATAGAAATCGACAACTTTTCTTCCAAATGAATGAAAAAAATTTAAATTGAATGCATGTAGATTGTGATTATAATCCTGTTTATTTCCTTCTTGCTAATGGAGAAATATGAAAATTTGGGAGACTACATTGAGCCTAAGCAAATAATTGGACAGCAATGAACAGGAAACCTTGGAAAGTATACTTCCAAGAGATACAGTAGTGATGGAAAATGAAAATAGACCCAAAAACCAGTGGTGGCACATGCCTTTAGTCCCAGAGGCAGGTGAGTCTCTGTTAGGTCAAGGCCAGCCTGGTCTATGAAGAGAGTTCCAGGACAACCAGAGCTGTTAAACAGAGAAATCCTGTCTTGAAAAACCAAAAGAAAATAGACTTGAGCACTCACTAGTAGAAGGTTTGATTAACATATTGATATAGCCATATATTGTTATATGAGTCAAAATTAATAATAGAGCTACAGTGATAATGGAAAGGTGTCTAATATATTAAGTTTTTTGGAGCTGCATATGCAATACTTTCATGTTAAAGGTCTATATGAGTGCTGGCTCAGAGGTTAAGAGCCCTGGCTGCCCTTCCAGAGGTCCTGAGTTCAATTCCCTGCAACCACATGGTGGCTCACAACCATCTATAATAATGAGATCTGGTGTCCTCTTCTGGTCTGCAGTGAAGGCATACATGCAGGCAGAACATTGTATATATACATAATAATCTTTTTTAAAAAGGCCCATATAAAAAATATTAATAGTATAAAAATGCTATATGAATTCTCTCAAGGTTATCATTTAATTTGTATTCAATAAGCATTTGACTGTGTACATAGATAAATTTAGGATTTATGCATACATACATACATACATACATACATACATACATACATACATACATACATACATACATACATACATACATACATACATGACAAGGGTTATTTCTGAGCAGCATAATTATGGTTTTATTTATTTTCCTGAAACATTTAAGTATTCAGCAGTATTAGGTGGAATAGCTGATAGAATAAATACTATATTACTTTGATAGTTAAGAAAAGGATACATAGTGGGGTGTGTGTGTGTGTGTGTGTGTGTGTGTGTGTGTGTGTGTGTGTGTGTTCATTCAGATAATTGAAACTCACCAAGTGAACACATTTGTGATTAATAAGAATAACATTTACAGCCTTGTAGAAGGTCGCTTCATTCCCTCTTCTCACTCCCCCTGCAAAGATAACATCCTGACTTCAGTAGAATATAATGTGTTATCTTTCTTGTTTGGCTCCCTTTTTTGCAATATTGTAAGACCCATCAATGTTGTTGGCTGTTTGTGTGTCATTCATCCTCTCTGTAGTATTCCGTTATGTGACTGTAATGTGATTTCTTCCATCTGCTGTATAATAAGCATTTGGGTAGTTTCCAATTTGGTACTATTTTGAAGGATGTTACAGTGTATATTTTTAGTATACGTCTTTTGAAGAACATATGTGTGTATTTTTATTGGCTATATGCCTAGGAGAGAATTATAGAACTACACCATATGCATACTTACAGTTTTATAGATACTCCCATCAGTACTGCCAATAGATTGTACCAGTTTACACATCTACTAGCAGTATGTAAGAGTAAAATTTAAGCCCGACCATGGTTCATGCCTTTAATCTCAGCAGGAGACAGAGGCAGGTTGATCTCTGTGAGTTTGAGGCCAGCCTGGTCTACAGAGAAGAGTTCCAGGACAGCCAAGCCTACACAGAAAAAAACCTGTCTCAAAATAACCCCCCCCAAAAAAAAAGTTAAACTATGATTATAATTTTAGTAATTTGCCAGTCGACAGTATAAGTATGTCGTAACTTTTGTGGGGGAAAATTGCAAGGTTTTATTTTAAACTGAGTTCCATTGGGCCTGTCATGTCCATAGTTTCAGCACTCACTTAGTAAATAACACCTCATTTAATGTCAAATAATTACAAAGTGTTTCTGAGTACTTAAATTGGCTAAACTGAATTCCCAGGAGAAAAAAAAAAGTTGACTTTATTTTAGCTTATGTTTTGAAATAGTAGTATAGGAGTATCATTGTTAGTTGCTTTGTGTGGGGTTGGAGGATGTATGTGCTCCATAGTCTATGATGTAAAGAAAAAAAAAGGCTAGGCAAGTAGTGGCATACACCTTTTTAGTCCCAGCACTCAGGAGGCAGAAGCAGGTGGGTCTTGGTGAGTTCGAGGTCAGCCTGGTCTACAGAGCAAGTTCCAGGACGTCCAGAGTTGTTATACAAAGAAACCCTGTCTCCAAAAAACAAAACAAAAAAGAAGTAAAGTACAGTTTATTATTAGGTAGTTAAATATAATTTATTTTACTGTGAAATTGGCAAAAAAACATCCAAGGATATTTCATATTTAGCTGGTCATTGGTGACGCATGCTTTTAATCCCAGTGGAAGGCAGAGGCAGGAAGATCTCTGTGAGTTTGAGGCCAGCCTGGTCTACAGAGAGAGTAGTTCCAGGACAGCCAGAGCTGTTACACAGAGAAACATTTTATAATTTGAAATTTTGCAATAACAATTTTCTTCCAGGTGACGTGGCAGTCAAGATGCTGAACGTGACAGCACCCACACCTCAGCAGTTACAGGCCTTCAAAAATGAAGTCGGAGTGCTCAGGTGAGCGTGATGACCACTGCTTTCCAGTAGAGAGTAAACCCATGATAAGAAGATTTATATAGGGAAGAATCTGGAGTTACAATTGTGTGTGAGGGAAATGTTCGAAACTGAGATTTCAATACAGAGAATTCAAGAGGATACATAGTTACTCTTAACATTGCAGAGAGCAGAACAAGGAAGTTAGTTGTGGGGGTTAGAGGAAAATGATTTTGCTTTCACCTAAGAAAACTTCCTAATATGTTTAGAACCACTTAAACAAAAGCAGCCTCTACTTCCTCACGAATACATTAAATAATATATATCTGAATACAGTTGCAGGTTAGACTAGATAACTACAGGTTAACCTTATTTTGCTCCTAGTACTTTTTTATTGAGAACATATTGGTCGATTGACTTGGCTCTCTTTAAAGAATTATCACTCACTGTCACATTTCTTTCTGACAGGAAAACGCGGCATGTGAATATCCTACTTTTCATGGGCTATTCAACAAAGCCACAGCTGGCGATTGTGACCCAGTGGTGTGAGGGCTCCAGCCTGTATCACCATCTCCACATCATTGAGACCAAATTTGAGATGATCAAACTTATAGATATTGCACGGCAGACCGCACAGGGCATGGAGTAAGTTCAGTTCTGTTAAATCTTCATATATGACTTTTGAAAACCACTTAAGGATACTTTAAAGGTATTAATAATACCTCTTATGAGTTGCATTTTAGTTTCTGTGCAATGATACTAACCAGTAGCTAGCACTCGCTTATTAAAACACAATACTTCTCTAGTACAGCTTTACAATTGCCAGTGGTGATTAGCACTCAATAATTTATGTGAACAGTGGAGGTACAGAAGAAAAAAAAAAGCAAAACACTACCACTAAAAAAAGCCATTACTAGTTAGTGGGAAATATGTGACTTATAATTCTGTACTTTCAAATCATTTTCTCTTATATGCCTGTATTTTCTGCTGCAAAATAGCCAGTTATCAAAGTTTTAAATATCTGTATTCTGATCCTAGCTGAGGACATCAAGTTGAAACATGTATGTATACTGAGTTTTGCTTTGTTAATTCAAAAGATAGAGGTTAAAATTAACTGGGGCAGGTGTCCTGGCACAGTCCTGTAATCCAGCACTCAGGAGAAAGAGGCAGGTGGATCTCTGTGAGCTCAAGATCAGCCTGGTCTACAGAGTGGGTTTCAAGACAGCCAGGTTTACATAAAAAGACCCTGTCTCAAAACAACAACAAAAAAGAATTGGCTCAAAAAGTTTTTGCATAAAAGTCTTCAAGTGGAAATAAGCAGTTGAAAGGTAGAATTCAGGGCTGTGGCTGTAGTTTAATAGTGCAGCACTTAAACAGCATGCCCAAACCCTAGGGTCAATCCCCAGCACGAAACAAAAAGAAAAAGCAAATTTTAAAGGTACTTAGCTGAGGCCAGGCTTGGTGATACTTGCTTTTAATCCCAGCATTTGAGTGGCAGAGGCAGGAGGATCTCTTTGAGTTCCAGAACTAACTAGAGAGACTCTGTCTCAAAAAAAAACAAACAAAAAAGTTAGCTGAAAACAATAAAATTTGAAAACTCTATAAATAGTTTAAAACTATATATTAGTATGCAAATTGCTTCTGTGTGTATGTATTGGTATGTCATTTAATATTTAAAATGTTATAAAGTATCGGGGCATTGATGACACACACCTTTAATCCCAGCACTCGGGAGGCAGAGGCAGGCAGATCTCTGTGAGTTCGAGGCCAGCCTGGTCTCCAGAGCGAGTGCCAGGATAGGCTCCAAAGCCATAGAGAAACCCTGTCTCAAACCGCCCCCCGCAAAAAAAAGTTATAAAGTAGATATCTTAATTTTCCTTTCACTGGTAAGGAAACAGGCTTTTAAATAATTTGTATAAGTAAAACTGTTAGGTCATATAGTTAGCAAAGTTATTTTAACTTAAGATTTCAGTCTATTTTAACTCTTCCCTCAAGATCAGTTATAGGAAATAAGTATGAAGCCAGGTACCCAAACCATATCTGGTTCTTCAACTTTTCATCCTCCCTCATTCGAAACTAGGCAATAACTTAACAAGCCTGTATTGAGCTGAGAACTTTATGACTCATAGTGTCTCAGTTGTCCTTCTAGTGCTGTGAAGAGACACGGTGACCAGGACTCCTGTAAAAGAAAGCTGTTAACTGGGGCCTTCTTACAGTTTCAGAGGCTAGGTCCTGATATTGAATAACGTCTTTAACTTATCTAACAAAACAATCTCAGCCTTTCAGTAAAGCAAGAAATTTAATCTACTCAAATCTAAAAGAGTGTAGTAAAAACTTAATAAAAAACCCTGGCAGAAGGGGGGGCAGAAAGGATATGTGATAGGTAGGGTTTTAGTTGGGGATGGTAGGGGAGGACAGGAGAGATGGAGGGAACTGGGATTGACATATAAAACAATCTTGTTTCTAATTCAAATTTTAAAAAAAATATCTGGAAAAAAAAAAAGCCTGGCAGAAAGTGTCAACAAAGATAAACAGAGCTTATTCAATTTCTGCAGTGGGCTGAAGAGCTCACACCACACCCACCCCTGCCCCACCTCAGCACCTCTGTATTTGCTCCTTCTTTGGAAGATTTGTTCCACATGCCTTTATCTCTGTTCTCTTTTTACATACACTTTTTAAGAGAGATTATTTCTGTGACCGATGTATATAGCTATAATGTTTCCAGCCTACCTTTACCACTGTATCCTAATTCTACAGACTTTTTAAAATTCTTGGTTGTCCCCACTAGATAGAAACTGGGTAAGAGCAGGGGCTTTGTTTTGTTTACTGATTTATAGCTGATACCTGGACTGGGTCCTAGCCTGTAAAATGAAAAAAAGGAAGGAAGGTAAGCAGACAGACAGACAGACAGACAGACATGTATGCATGATTACACAAAAGTGTGTATTACCCATTAGTTTGCTGTCCAGAAAGAAGATTCAAATCCTGTTCATATCACAACTCAGAAATGTTTAAAAAGTAAACAAGAGAGAGAGAGAGAATAACAGAAAAGAGTTTTTGTTAAAGACTAGTATTTATAATTATTTTGAGAGGATAGGCAGTTAGGTGCCAGGGTTAGTTTTAAAAGTGGCAGTAGGGAAGAACCTGTGAGTAGGGAGAATGATCAAGAATGGTGATGATGTCCCATCACCTTACTGAGAGTCTGGGATTCTCAGTGTGCTTGCAACCTACTGCTTACTTTAAAGACAGCGCGCTGGAGCACATGTGTCCATCTCTCCATTGGACTCGTCCTACGGTTTAGGAGCTGAGAAAGCACTATTAAGTTTTAAACCCTCTAACAGAGTTTACTTTGGTTTGGTTTGGTTTTGGTTTTGGTTCTTACTAAAATGACTAGATTTTGGGTTAAAGTGACAGATTTTTTTCTCAATCTTTTCAACCCCGTTAAAACTACAATGAAGAAATATTTTTATAAAGTCTAAACTAATAAGACTGACAGAAAGAAGATAGTAGCAACATGTTTGAAAGAGAGTGGAGAACTGATGCTGGGGTCAGTAGAAAACAAAAAACTAAATCATTAGTTGTTGATGACAACCATCGTATTTACAGCACTTACAGAGATTGGTTTCAGAGACTGGCAGTTCCTGCACTGGGGAAGCTATTTTGTTAATCCCTCTCCTAGCAGTGCCACTGAGTGACTGGCAGAAAGACTGGAAATGCATATCTCAGGATGGGGGAGGCTGCTATGTCTAGGACTTGGCCATCTTTCCAGGACAGTGGGGTTGGGTGACTGCGTACCTACCAAACGATGCTCAACTGTGCTGCCCATTGCACTCAGCTTTCTGAGGGGAGGGGGGACAGAGTCAGGGATTAGCCTTCCAATAAGTGTCCTGCCACTGAGATGCAACCCAGCATGTTCTCTTTTTGATTCCCAGATGTTAGCAGCCAAGCCTGACTGGTCCTACAAGTCTAAGAGTATTCTCTAGGGAATCTTACCAGACCAGGAGGACTCACAATCTAAGATCTAAGTGCTGGTCCCCACTTAGTCTGAATAGGGAAACTGTCAGATCATCAGACATTAGAGAAGTCTGGTAGAAGTGAAAGGTCAAAGCATATGGAGTGGGGGTAGGGTGCACTGGTAGAAACAGAGCCAGTGAAAGGAGAGGGAACCCCTCTTACCAAGAGAAAAACGTGTCTGTTTCCTTGGGGAGATTACAAAGCTAAAAGACGTTTTCATTAAACAAGATGCTTTCTAAAAAAAAATTTGTAGCCAGGCATGGTGGCACGTGTCTATGACCCCAACACTTGGGAGACAGGCAGGAGGATCATCTACAGAGCATGTTCTAGACCAGTTAAAGCAATATTCTGCCTAAAAATCATTACCACTGGGGGCTGGAGAGATGGCTCAGAGGTTAAGAGCACTGACTGCTCTTCCAGAGGTCCTGAGTTTGGTTCCTAGCAACCACATGGTGGCTCACAACCGTCTGTTATGAGATCTGGTGCCCTCTTCTGGTGTGCAGATATACATGGAAGCAGAATGTTGTATACATAATAAATAAATAAAATATTTTTAAAAAGCAAATAGAATTTAAAAAAATCATTACCACTGAATATCAGTATGTTTAAATGTTGATACTTATAGCATATTGGAAATTGTACCTTTTTCAAATATTTTAACCTTTAAATGTTAATTTAAAATTCACAAGGAGTCATATGGTTTGTTAGAATTCATTTGAGCTGTCTATAGCAAAAGAAGTTGAAAACAGCTGGACGTTGGTGGTGCACGCCTTTAATCCCAGCATTCGGGAGGCAGATGCAGGCGGATCTCTGTGAGTTCGAGACTAGCCTGGTCTACAAGAGCTAGTTAAGGACAGCCTCCAAAGCCACAGAGAAACCTGTCTTGAAAAACAAAACAAACAAACAAAAAAAGTTGAAAACTACTGGGCTGTGGTGGTTCACACCCTTAATCCCTGCACTTGGGAGACAGAGGCAGCGGATTTCTCTGAGTTTGAAGCCAGTCTGATCTACAGTGTGAGTGCCCGGAGAGCCAGCACCACACAGTGAAACCTTGTCTTGAAAAACCAAAAAAAGAAAAAGAAAAGAAGTTTCAAACTATTACACAGGTTTGCTGATTGCAATGGCATGAACAACCTGTAACCACTAGCACTTGGGAGCCGGAATCAGGAAGCTCAGAGAGTCCAAGCTTGTTTTATGTGAGAACTTGCCTCAAAACAACAACATGCTATTTAGTTTAATATTCATATGTCTGTGTTATATTGCATAGTTCAAAAAAGAGACACTAAGATAATTTTTATAACAAACTGATTTGCATAAATTTATATAAATAATTCAAACAATACCAGTTTGTATAAGTAAATATGCACCCTATTCTGTCATCAACCACTAAAGTATATATCATATTTGGGTATTTGGGGTTTTGTTTTTGCTTTTTTGAAGTGGGGTTTTACTATGCAGCCCTCACTGGCCTGGAACTCACTGTGTAGCTGGTTCAAACTTACAAGTTCCTCCTGCCTCTGCTGCATTAGTGCTGGGATTAAAGGCATACAAACCTGGCCCATATTGGGATTAGAAGATACCACTTCACTAGTGGTTGTCTCCAGCAAGGAAAAGAGAGTTTGTATAAACTC